CCCATGAGCGGTACGATGTACCGCTCGCCCGCGCCCGGGGAGCCGCCGTTTGTGCGGGAGGGCGACCGCGTGAAGAAGGGCCAGGCCGTGTGCATCGTGGAGGCCATGAAGCTGATGAACGAGATCGAGGTGGGGGGGGTCGCTGGGGGCATCTGTGGGGGGTTTGGGGCAGGGGGAGGTCGTCATGAGTGGGGTGCATCAGTCATCGTGTCCAGACGTGGGGACCGAGGCGCCTCGATTGCCGGCGTGGGGGCGGCTGCTGGCTGACTGCGCTGGGGTCTTCGAGCGGCAGAGGGCAGGCAGGGGTTCACATGCGGTGGATCCTGGTCGTTGTGTGCTAGCATGAATCGGTTGGCACCATGGCGCTGCATCACTACTGGTTGGCACTGACCCGACTGCCGTGGGTGGCAATCACCCCGACGCCCCGCCTCTCATGATCAACCCCCTGGCGAACATTGGCGGAGCGGCCTCAACACTCAAACACACGTACGCACGGGCACATACACACACACACACACACACACACACACACACGCACGCACACACACACGCACACACACACACGCACGCACACTGTCGCTCTCTCAGACCGAGGTGGGCGGCGAGGTGGTCAAGATCCTCGTTGACAACGGCACCCCCGTCACCCCCGGCGTGCCCATCATGATCATCAAGCCGTGATTAACCGATGTGGCAACACACAGCTGGGCCCGCACAGCCCCCACCGCTGCGCCGCCCGGCTGCTGCGACGGGCGGCAGGAGCGCGCCTGGCGGCCGCAGCGGCCGGGGGGAGGAAGGTGTGCGGCTGCGCACGGGCGGCCGGTTTTGTGCTAGGGCGGCGCACGGATGCGCGCCACTGGGGCGCGCGCAGCCGGGCTGCAGGCGGCGCCCGTTGGCGCGCACGGCGCCGGCGCGGCAAGGGGCACCGCAAGCCCTGCCGCGCTCGCCGCGGCTTTTGGATGACGATGCAGCCTGACACAACACAGCCATTTAGAGTGCCCACGTAGGTTGCTGGCTTGAGAGAGTCTAAATTGGCACAAGCAATCCACCCCCATTTTTCCATATACATGGTCCCGGCTTGAGCTGGGGCGCCTGCGCATGGCCTGTGGATGGGACGTGCGTGGCGCCCCCAGATCGCAGCCAATGGCTCTTGCCGCATGCATTCTCCTGTCAGCCCTCTTTGGATGCATACGAGTCTGCGGCTGTCCCCCTCTCCTCCTGCTCTTTGTAATGCACTGCTGTTGTGTGGTGCTGCCGCACATGGGACGGGACATCTGTTGCTGTCAAGGCGCCAAACGATAGGCAATCGGCAAGAACTGTCAAGAGGTCTGCACGTTGGCCGACATCACGCATCACTACGGGTGATGTCGCGGCAGCTACGCCGGTAACCGTGAAGGACGGGAGTGAGCACGCGCACCTGGCAGCCTTCAGTGCACACGTTGCATACCTGTGGCATTCTCATACGACAGAATGTAGTGTTGTTGTTGATTTCTGTGACCATGATCTGACTGTGCATACGAACGGCACGTTATGACACGAAGAATTATATAAATAATTGATATACGTGGCCATCGCTTATAGGGGGATGGCGCTGGCTGAGGGTGTGAAGCTGTTTATCGGGCAAGCCACACAGGTATGCCGCCTGTAATGTTTGAGTTAAGATAGCACGCTTGGCGTGGGTTGGGTTGAGATTCGGTGCTCCGTCGTCGCGCCACCTGTGGCTGCGCACCGCTCACCCCTCTGTTGACGCAGCGCGCCACGCTGACCGGCGCTGAGCTCGACGTGCTGATTGCGGAGGCGGGCCTGCCTGCGGATGACCCACAGACCCGCGCTTATCTTTATGAGGTGCGCTATCCTTTGCTAAACCAGCCCTTAGCTTTTCTAGCTAACTCTGAGTCAGCACCTGGGGACGTCGCCCCCATCCGCAGGCACATGCACTGCTGCAAAGCTGCACAAGCTTCGCCCTCACAAACACACGCGAACACACACACACACAAGCGCGTGCACGCGCGTGCGCACTCGCACCCATGTGCGCGTGAGTGTATGTGTGTGTGTGAGAGAGTGTGTGTGTGCGCGCGCAGGCACACCCTTGATCACACCCGCAAAATCCGCCCCGCGCTCCCAGGTGCTCAACACGCTGCGCCCAGATCTGCGCCTCCCGGTCAACAGCGCACGTGCGGTGGCGGCGGCAGCGGCCGCCGCCGCCGCGGCCGCAGGCGCCGAGTCAAGCGGGCCCGCGGAGCACGCGTGGGACTTGGGAGCCACCCACCCAATCGAGCGGCGCGCGGCGGCGGGGTGCTATGCAGTGGCAGCGGGCGGCCCGCGGGAGGCGCGGCGGCCCCTGGCCAACAGCACAAACCTGCCCGGGCGAACTGGCGTCGGTGGCAGCGGGCAGCCAGGGGGCGGCGGCGCAGGGGGCGGCGTGAGCGGCGACCGCGCGATGCACCCCTTGGATGAGTCTACGAAAGAGCAGCAGCAGGCGCAGGGGAAGCAGCAGCGGGAGCAGCAGCAGGAGAAGGCGGTGCTGGGACATGACTACGAGGGAGAGGAGCCCAGGGCGCGGGCGCCGCTCCCATCGGGCGCCCCGCCTCAGCAGCCATGGGTGCAGCTTGCCGAGCAGCAGCAGCAGCAGGAGCGGCAGCCGGTGCCTCCCCGGCAACACAACCAGCCCGCCGGCCTCGCGGTCGAGGCTGCATACCAAGCAGCCCTGGAGGTGAACCGCGCCATAGACAACCTCAAGGCGCTCCAGCAGCAGCTGTCCCCGCGCCCCCAGCCGCCACCAGCGGCCCCTGGCTTTGCAATGGCGCCGGCAGTGGGCACGACCGGCGGCGGCACGGACGTTGGGAACGAGGGCGCCGCGCCGCCGGTGATGGCAACCGCCGAGCAGCTCGGGGCGCTGGTGTCGGCGGCCACGACGGCCGCGACCAAGGCGGTCGCGGCCGCGATGGCCAAGGCCGCGCGCCGGCGGGCGGGTGCGGCGGGGGCGCCTGCTGTCGCGGCCGGGCGCGGGGAGGGCGCGGCGGCGCGAGGTGCGGCGGGCGGCAGCGGGGCCCGGCCAAGCGGTGCGGGCGAGGCAGGATTGGCGGAGGCGGCGGAGGCGGCGGGCACTCTGCGCGCAGCCAATGGCGACGGTCTGCCGAGGGTGGTTACTGTGAGGGTGGCCGACGCGCCGCCCGGCGTGGTGCGGGCCGCGGGCGGGCTGAAGGTAGGCGCGGGCGTTGAGCCGGCGGCGGGCGCGGCGGCTGAGGAGCAGCAGCCGGCGGCGGCTCTTTTAGGGCTGCAGCAGCAGCGGGAGCAGCAGCAGGAGCAGCAGCAGCAGCAGCAGCAGCAGCCACAGGATCACGCGCAGACAGATTACCACGAGCAGCAACACCAGCAGCAGCAGCTGTTGCTGCCCCTGCAACCGGATTCCCTGCTGCCATCTCGAGTGGGGCCATTGCAGCCAGCCAAGGGGCCCCGGCCAGCGTGGCTGTCAGAGGTCTCGCCTGACTCGCAACAGACCCAGCAGCAGCAGCAGCAGCAGCAGCAGCAGCAGCAGCAGCCCACGCCGGCTGCAGCGCTCGCGGCTGCCCCTCTTCCGGCCGCCCTGCAGAGCTCCATGCAGCGCACCCTGGCGGCCCTGCAGGACCCCGCGGCAGCTGCCCTGCAGCTGCGCGGCGCCCCGAGCACGGCCCCCCGCTCTTCGACGGTGCCGCTGGACGACGCGGCGGTAGCTGCCCAGCGGCTGCTGGGGGACCGCTTCGACTACGGCGCCGCCAGGACGGCGCTTGAGGCCGCCGGCGCGCGCGCAGCCTCGATGGCAAAAGGCGGCGGCGCCGCCGCCGCGGCCGGCGGCAGCGCTTTTGGCACAGCGACGGGAGCCGGGGGTGGCGCGGCGGCTGGCGACATTGCGGATGCGGTGCCGCCTCTGGTGGCGTTTTATGAGGCGGAGGACGCGTGGCGGGACCCCCGAGAG